GCGTGGGGCCGCCAAGGCGACCAAGGGGCTCACTGCAAAGACAGGTTGGTGGGGCCTGTCGGAAAGAAGGCGGCCTCGCCTAGGAGTTGCAACACACTCTTTCTCCAGTGCGCAGCGCTCGGCCTGGGGGAGGGGGAGGAGGGGAAACAGCTGCCAGGAGAGCAGCGGGCCCAACCCGGCCCGGCCCGCTCACCGTGAGGGTGTCGTCTATGTAGAGGGGAATCTGCCTCCTCTCGAAGGGGAACTCCTCCTCCCCGTCCCTGCACACTGCCACCAGTCGCGCCATCGTCCCCGACGCTGCCGTTGCCACCGTCACCACCTCCTCCCAGCTGCCGCCGCTGCTGCTGCCGCCGCCGCCGCTGCTGCTCCTGCCGCTGCCGCCTCCTCCCAGCTCCTGCCTGCAACAGCCAAACCCCGCGAGCGTAAGCACCCGCCACCTCGCAGCACATTCGCCACGGGGGAAAGGGGAGGGGGGACGGAGCAAGAGGGGACGGGAGAGCCGCGCTGCGTTTCCCATCACCCGATTCCACACGCGCTCAGCCAATCAGTGCCCCGCAGCGCCGGGACCCGCCCCCTCGCGCCGCCCGCCCTCCCCCACCCACCCACCCCGCCCGCCCGCCCGCCCGCCGGCCTCCAGTCAGGGTCCAAAGGAGAGGCGGAAAGGACCTGCTGGCCCCGGGACATCCCCGCCCAGCCCGGGAGTCGGGGCTCCAGGCGCTCATCCCCGCCTCGGCTCCACAGGCCATGCCCGCAGCCCGCCACTGACCCCTTCTCCCCGCTCGGAGCGCCCCGCCCAGGCGGGACCCTGGGCTGCAGTTGCCCGGCGCCACCCCGCCCCTGGGAGGGGTCGACCCCGCCTCGGCTCTGCAGAGTTCGTGGGTACGGGCAAGCTCAGACCCGGTCCTCACCCAGGTCGGAGGAGGGCTCTTGGTTCTGACCTTCACTGACTTCGTGGACGCCTCCCTGACCCCCACCTCTGCTCCCCGTTACCGGCTGACGAGGCCCGCGTCAGGGCCGGCCTGGGCGGGAGCGCGGCTGCGGATGCCGTTTCCTCTCCAGGCTCAGTCAGCCGCTCGCGCCACGGGGAGTGTGGGAGGGAGGGCGGGGGACGTGGGGAGGGTGGGGCCGGGAGGGGCCGCGAACTCCGGGCGGGGCCTGCCTCTTCTCGCGAGACCGCGGCCGCCTCTCTCGGGTCCCGACTTTCGAAATCTGCGTGTGGTGGTGGGGGGAACTCCCTGTGCGATCGCGCGGGCTGACTGGCCCGGTGCCCCGGATTTAGCGAGATAAGCGTGAAGTAGAGCCAGGAGGGGGGCTGAGCAGGGTGGGTAGTCTGGGTCTCTGTTCTCCCGAGGGCGGAGGGGTGAAAAGCGCCCCATCTGGGTGGACAGCTTGTGTCCGGGCCCAGGTAGGACTTAGGTCAGTGGTAAGGACCTGAGGCTGTCGAGGTCAATGAGAACGGACAGTGGAAAGACATCTGGCCGTGGTTTCCAGGGTTTGACAGCCGGACTTCCACCACTGGAAGACTGGAGAACAGGCTCTGCCACCCTGATTGACCCTGAGCCGGCCGCTTTAGGGGGACTGCGTCAAGACCTCCCAGATGGATACGTGCAGAATTTGTTGTTAGAGACAAAATTGAACAGTATCTCTGTGTACGTTGTGACCAGAGGAACTTCTTGAGTTAATATTAACTTAGGGACTCCCTTGGGCAAAGTACTGGTAGTGGCCAAAGGCCCTTCCGTCTGACCATCTTCCGAGAACCAGAGCTGCTGTGAAGACAATTCCTCTGCACTCTGCCCGCTGGCTGCCACGTTCACAGGTCCTACTCTGAGGAGGTCCATTGTAAAGCCCAAAGGGTGGGAATAGTTTTTCGTCTTGACCGTTTTAACGATAAATCCATTCGCTGCTGGTAAAACTGCCTGATCTTAAGGATAGATCAAATACTCCGTGGTAAAATAGGCTAAAGCTGTTGTTACTGACCTTTAAAAAGTATTTTGGTCATCACATGAAGTCTCTGAAAGTCACAACAAAAAACCCCCATAGTGCATCCTTAGCCATGTTGACTTATGACATTATGTGGTCACTGTTGGGGTAGGTGACATAATAAACTGGAAGAACCACTGTGTGTTCCCAAAGGTGTGATTATCTAGTAAATATGTCTTTGGGCCATACTAAAAACATTATAGTGTGATCCTTAACTTAAATCCAGTAAGCATATGGGGTTTGCATGCACCTGACAGGTTAAGGTACACAATAAAAATATGGACATTTTTAGAGAATCTTGTGTTTTATGTCTACAACTACTATAATCCATGTACCCGCTTTGGACCATTTTAATTTTAGGCTATGCCTGGTAACTAATGTTGAGCCAATACACATATAGCTGCTAACTACTACTAAATACACACCATGTACTATGAAGAAACGCCAGTAGGATACCTTCTGTTTTCACTATAATTACAGGCCGTATTATTTGATATGGCAGTAAAATCAGTGACAGAATGTTTACATTAGTATGTCTGAGAATCTGTAAGTTGGATTTTCCTTTTCATGATCTGACAGGAAATTCTGTTTTAGTAATTAAAAATAGAAACACAAGCTCAGTGTCATAGCACATACATACCTGCAATTCCAGGCCTTGAGAGGCCAAGGCAGGAAGTTTACCATAAATTCAAGGCCAGCTTGGATTGCACAGGTCCTATCTCAAAATAATAATAAACAAATATATTAGTTTTTTTTTTTTTTTAAATAAATGTAGGTTAAAATGTAAGCTCCTTTAAGTCAGGGACTTTGTATTCCTAGCATATCTACCTGACACCTTACAGCTCAGTAAAACATTGTTAAGTGATCTTTCTGTTCTGAAAAACAAATCACAGGGAGTTTTGCCAACTAATTCTGATTTTATGAACTCATTAGCCTTCTTTTAGGACCTTGGGAATTAGATGGAAAAACAGTATACACTTGTCTTTTTTAGTTAATACCTGTAACTGTCAAAGATATAAACTTAGACTAGAAAAGTATGAAGGGCTGAGGGTATAGTGGTAGAACACTTGGCCCAAGGCTCAGTCTCCAGTACCACAAAAATAAGTAAATAAATACCATAAAAACAAGCAGGACAAATTTTAAAAAGTGCCAGGTGTGATGGCACATCCCAGAACCATCTGAGATGATCAAAGGCATATGCCACTACCGGCCAGCAGTGACACCCCATTTAAAAATAAATAAATAAAAGCTATTAACAAATCACATTAAGTCATAGGATAGCTACTTTCTCTAAATGAATGTAATAACTGAGCTACTCTGCCTTCTGGCTGCTCCAACAGATAAAGTGTGGAGTACTGGTACTGTGACACAGCAAAAAAATCAACTTTCCTAGTCAGGCTTAATTTACATGGTATAATCTTATTGGTTAAATTTCAAAAGTCTTACTTTTTAATTAAAAATAAGAGATTGTAGTCAGCAAATACAAAGTCATCTTAACACAAAGTTAGCCACCAAGTTGAAATAAAACAATTTAACAATATATTTACATTAAAAAATACATTTCAGAGTTAGGCTCAGTACAATGCTCACCTAGTAAAATTTGAAGTTCTGATTCAGTCCCCATCACCACAAAAAGTAAAGCCTACAATCTGAAGACTACTCTACTCCTGTACCAGGAGGCTCCACCTGTTCTAAACTATACAAACAATTTAGATTGCTAGTAAATACCAAATACTCGAACCAGCAGTAGTTTATGATTTGTCCTTGAAACCAGAAAAAGCAGAATTTCATTGATTCTCATCCCCTACCACCACATACACAGGACTAGCCTGGGCTCAAACTTATATGGAGCTGAGACTGGTCTTTAGCTCCTGATTCTCCCACCTCCATCTTCCAAGTCCTAGGATGACAGGTTTGTTGTCACCACAGCTGACCAGTATTACATTTGCCTTAAATACATTAGCCAAGCATAGTGGCACCCACCATTAATCCCAGCACTTGGGAGCAAATAGATCTCTGTGAGTTTGAGTTCAGAGTAGCCTACATAGTTCCAGACCAGCCAAGACTACATAGACTATCTCAAAATAAACAAACATACACGTTGAACATCAAAACTGGAAACTAAAGACCTTGTGATTTTTAAATCTTTAGAATAGCTGATTCAAAGATCTGCTTGAAAACTTTAAATCATTCCACTTCTCAGCTGACTATTAAGCTGTAATGTAACTATTTTTATTAGCTTATGTGTTGATTTACTTGATTCTCTTTATGAAGCTGCCTTATCTGTTTCTCCAGTTTACAGCCCATACTCCTGTTTTCTGAGTTACACAGGTTTCCACACAACTTTTGCTGACAGATTCATCATACATTGAATACTCTGGGCTGTCTACCCTTCTATCCCCAGATACTTGTATCACCCATTAGCATTGTCTATGGAGAAAACTTGTTTCCTTCCTAGACTGGTTCTTAGTTTGACACTTAATCCATAGTGTTTTCTTTTTCCTATGACTCAATATTTATATTAGTTTAATATGTTTCCCTACACTGGACTGAAAGCTCCAAGATATTAGAAATTTGTTTTGTCTTTTGAGACTGATCTATGTAGCCCAGGCTAGCCTTGAGCTCTAGCTCCTGCCACAGCCTCCTGAGTGCTATGATTACAAGATCCATACCTTACTTGTGCTTTATTACTGTATGCCAAGCACAGAGTAGGCTACAATGAATCAGTATTAAAACTCGTATAGGTGGGTTGAGGATGCACACTCAAAATCCTAGCACTTGAGAAACTGAGGCTGGATGATCATAAACCCCAGACTAGTTTGAGCTACAGAGAAAGTTCAAAGTTAGTGTGGACTACATAGTAAGATCCTCTATCAAAACTTTGTCTTTGAGACCAAAAAAAGTAAAATGTGTCAGGCACCTGAAATATATCATATTGGATGGTATATATATCATCTAATTCAATCATTACTTATTGGGTTTACCTTTTTTCTGGCTTCAAATGTATCTGGTTTTGAACACTTGTTTAGTACTAGACTTTATTAAAAGATGAAAGTTGAGTAGAAAAGAGGTACTGAAAGAGCAGGAGAAATGGATCAAATGGTTAAAGCACTTATTATTCCTGCAGAGGACCCAGGTTTGATTCCCAATGCCCCCAAGGTTATTTACAATCATCCATGACTTGTTTCCAGGAGATCAAAGGTTCTTCTAATCCTTTCAAGCACTAAGTATGCTTGTACTACACATACACACAAGCAGGGAAAACACATAAATCTCATAAAAACACTACTTAAAAAAAAAACTGTATTGAAAATTTCCAGTCCTAAGGTATCTAACCCCCTCTTCTGACCTCTGTGGGCATTGTACACTTACGATAAACATACATGCAGGCAAAACATAAACACATAAATTTTTAAATGGCAATTCATAAAAATCAATGTAAACATCATGTAACACAAACATTATAATCAGACAATTATATTATAGACAAATCACAAATACAATGGCATAATGACATGTAGAAAGTAAAAAATCTCACAGTACATCTTCCTGTGTCAAAACTACCAAGTTGGTTGTGGTGACTTGTGCCTGAAACCCCAGTGCTGAGGCTGAGGTACAAATGCCACAGTGAGCTCCAGACAAAGCGAAATACTGAGAACAAGTTCTTTAAAATACTGGCATTTTGTAAGTTCCAATAAGTCACAAGATTTTGTTTCACTTTTTTTCGCCTCCTGAGGGTCTCTCTACAGAGCCCTGGCTGTTCTGAAACTCAATAGGCATATCAGGCTGACCTCAAACTCAGAGGCCCACAGAGACCTGCCTGCCTCTGTCTCCCAAGCTCTCAGACTAAAGCCTTTTGAGACTTCTGTTTTATATCATGTTGAAATGTATTACACATCCAGATACTGTGGCAAGAGTCTTCCTCAAAAAAGAAAGTAACCTTTAATTTCTGTCATAGAGGATTGAAACTTTATAATATCATTAGATGGATTGCTAAGAGGACATTTCCTTCACTTACTCTCCTCCACTAAAATAATGCTGTTCAAATACACACACACACACACACACACATATATATATATATAGCCTCCCCACTCATCACCAAAACTTTATGGTTTTAACTTGTATATCAAGTACATATATAACTAAACAGTTGGTAAACATATAAATACTGAGTACAATTAATGTCCATGAGGCACCACTATGTAATGTATCCACTGTCAGGTTAATCAAACCAGTTGTTATATTTGACAGTAAGAAAAAAAAAAGCTGGTTTCTGTTCAGAGCTCTAATTAAACAAAAACTGGGCTCTTTTTTTTCAGCTTCCAGGATTAGAGATTGGGAATGTTTTTTATTTGTAGCAGGCAACTGTATAAGTTTCCAAGAACATGGTACTAGAGCCCCTTTAATTAGAAATTTGGCAAAACTCAAAATTATATCACTCAGTAAAAGACAGCTAAGAAGCATCAGGCTAGAAGCAACCACCCACACACAAAAGGCTAAATTGGCCATTCTTCGAGATACGGCTTCTATATTTACTTGAACTATATAAAGAGAAATGAAGAAACTAACAGCCACTAAGAGAATACAACAAGTAACTTTTATCCAGTCTCTGATATGTGTTCTGTTCTTAAGCACATACAACCCTGTTTGCACACCAGCCATGTGTATTGTCACATACCCCAAGGTGGAAATTATTCCTTCTCGGTTGGCATTTAATAAACCAACTCTTGTGCCACTACCATCAGTGCCGTGCAAAATTATCTTCTTGAGTGGAGTAAAATCAAGAGCGAGTTGGTATAACACAATAATGCTGATAGCCACAACCCAGGACTTATTTAAAGGAAAAATAGTCAAAAGAAGGGATGTTATTAATTTCACAACTATGATGGTGAAGAAAAAGTTCCAGTGAACTCCATACTCAGTTAAATGCTCCTGATACCCTATGGATTTTATAATGACTAACCGTCCCATTCCTAAGAAGACTAGTGGCCAGACAGAATACAGTGATTTTCTAAGATAATTAAATCTGGACCCTTCTACATATTTCCTTCTAACCTCAGGACAAACCATTGCAGCCCCAAAAATAAAGCCACCTACTCCATAATCCATGGCCCCTGTCCCATAAAGCTCAGTTTTGGCAAATCTTCTAGGGAAAAGTGGGAAGTCCACAGCCAAAATGGCAACAGCAGTAAATACACTGTTAATGACCCGGTAACCAGTGATGGCTGGGTTGTACTCTGATTCTAGGCTGATTTTCAAGAAGTTTGCAAAGACTTTCTGGACAGGCACTTTGGCATAGCAAGTCCTCCTCTGGTATATCTGATACAAGAGCCATGCCCCAAAGACAGTTACCACGAGATTCTCAAGGAGGACAAACGAAGACAATATAGTCAGAGTGATCACCATGGGGAAAATGAGGACACCAAAGTCCATGAGGAACCATGTGCTCCAGCTGTGTGAGAAAGAACACAAGTGCTGTGAGAAAATGATCAAAAGGCCTCTACACAGGATACAGAATGCAGGAAAGCACAAGCCCTGGGTCACTTCCAGCACACTGGTTCCGTTGTGGTTACTGACAAAAGCTTCCTTCATCTGCTTTTGAGACATTTTTTTTTTCTTCCTGTGAAAACAAAAGAATGGATTTGAGGAAAACAGAATTACTGTAAAGTCAGTAAATATCTACATACCTCACTTGAATTTGTGTATTTCTCAGTTTCAGAATAGGTTAGGGGCTGGAGGAATGTCTCAGCAGTTACGAACACAGCCTGCTCTTCCAGAGGACCCAGGTTCAATTCCCAGCACCCACATGGCAGCTCACAACTGTCTGTAACTCCAGTTTCAGAGGATCCAACACCCTCACACAGACATACACATGGGCAGAACAGACATATAGGCCCACCAGGAGCTGGTGGTGCATGTGTTTATTTCTGGTACCTAGGAGGCAGAGGCAGGCAGATCTTTGTGAATTCAAGGACAGCCTGGTCTACAGAGTGAGTTCCAGGACAGTCAGATCTACACAGAGAAACCCTGTCTCAACCCCTCAACCCCCCCCCCAAAAGAAGTAGTAATTTAGGCCTTAGGTGATTTCAATTCAGGGCAGAATTTCTGACTCTACTAGATCCTAAGATTTAGGGAAAAGTCAACACTGATACATTAAGAGTATGAAATTTCTAGTAAATTTGTATCTTCATTATAAGGCAAATTCAAAATGAAAGTAAATTTGGAAGCTGGGTGAGGTAAAGCATACATATAATCCTATCACTTAAGAAGAATACTCAAGGAGGCTGGAGAGATGACTCAGAGGTTAAGAGCACTGACTGCTCTTCCAGAGGTCCTGAGTAAAATTCCCAGAAACCACATGGTGGCTCACAACCATATGTAATGAGATCTGGTGCCCTCTTCTGGTGTAGGCATACATGAAGGAAGAACACTATATATATAATAAATAAATACTAAGAAAGAAGACTCAAGATGGTCCTTGCTTACATACTGAGTTCCCACCAGCCAACCTGGCTACATGAAACCTTGGTTTTTTGTTTGTTTGTTTTAGACAGAGGCTCACTGTGTAGCCTGGAACGCAATATATAAATTAGGCTGACCTTGAATTCAAGAAAACCACCTGCCTATGCCCCATCTCCACCATCACCAAACGCTTAAAGGCATGTGCTACCATATCCAGCCAGACCTGGTCTAGACAGTAAATTTGGGATATGAATCCAAATGGGATCATAGCCAGTGAAACATAATTCTCTTTCTCTCTCTCTCTCTCTCTCTATATATATATATATATATATATATATTCTATATATATGTATGTATGTGTGTATGTGTGTATACACATGCTTACACACACATACACACACATATATATAATTAGTTTATGTATATCGTGATAAATACTCATATGGAAGCCTTCATGAAAGCTGCATACACATTTCTAAGAACTTTAAAATAAAACTTCAGGAAGGAAGAGAGAAAAATTCTAAGTGTATTTTAGAGTCAGGGTAGTTTCTCTTCAGAGCCTCAGAACCTACTACAACACTGGGCACGAATGCCAGGTTGTTCTTTTCTTCGTATACACAAGGCTATATTTTCAGATTAAGAAGCAGGTGGACAAATTGGATACATAGTATATACCAGAGCTAGTGGCTTTTTTTTTTTTTTACACAGTCTAAAACCTCCTCTGTTACTTACATACTAATGTCCGAAAAGCCGCACGCTGAGAGAACACACCCATCGGCCAGATAAGAAGCATAGTGTATAATGTCCCTGGAGGTAGTACACATTACTGTCCATTATGGTCTATTTGGGCCCTGCATCAGCATCATCTCACCGTTAAGTGGCCCTGCTCTTTTGGCCTTCAAGTCCTTTTCCTGAGGGACCTCACCACAACCACGCCCTGCCCCCGGCCCGACTTCAGCGTTGACAGAACAGGCTCCCTCCGCACCTGCCGGCTCCCTCCGCTTCCGCCTCGCGAGCAACGCTTCCGGCCGGCGCGGCGCGGCGCAGCCTGTTCTTCCGGGCCCGCAGATTCCGCTCGCCCCCGCCCGGGATGGCGACAGTCCCCGCCCCGCCGGCTCCCCACGCCCTTCAGTGTGTTGGGCTGGGTTCGTCCCGAGCGGCGGTCCGAGGGAGGGACGCCTGACCTCGGACCCGCGGCGAGGCGGGTCAAGTAGAGGGTCCGAGGAGCCCGCGTCCGGCTCGGCCACGGCGACCCGGAGTAGACCAGTCCCCGGGGCCCCGGAAGCCGCGCTTGCCCGCCCCGAACTCGGGCGGCCACAGGAACACCATAGCTTACCCCAGAGTCGCAAAACACCTCACGCGTACCCAGCCGGCCAGAGCGGCCAGCCTGGAACGGACCACGTGCGTCCAGCGCCGCGTGTGCGCGCCCCGCCCCGGGGGAGGAGCCGCCGGGCTCCGGGCCACTTGCCGGAGCTGCTGCCGGCAGCGGGCGACCCAGAGTTCCCGGCTTTCTTCCCTAGCGGCTCCCGCTCCCTCTGTCGTCTTCCCTTCCCGGCTCTTCCCGCCGCCTCGCCTGGCCCACCGTCCCGGGTCGGGACTACACGCTGGGCGCCCAGGCCGTGGGACCGGTGAGTGCCACTCCCCGCCTAGATCCGAAGCCCTTCACGGCCCGAGGAGTTAGAGAGGCCAGTGTCCTGCTCAGAGATACAGTAGAAGCAGGCACCTCACCTTCTAGTTCAGCATTGATCTTTCTACCCTCTTGTGACCCAAGAGAGGGTAACACAGCTTTTGCCCAGGACAAGGACCTTCACGGTCACTTTCCAGCTTGCCAGCAGGGGGCCACAAGGGGGTGTTTCTGGCTGATCGAGACTGGACTTCTGTCCCTTCCTTGCCCTACCCAGGGACAAGAGTGAGAGGCATAAGGAAACTGCGCCCTTGGCTAGGGTCACATCCACCTTCCCGGGAAGGACGTCTTCTCTCAGTACCAGGTGCTTCCGGAGTGGCATCCCAGCCCTGGCCTCTGCGGGAGCGTTGCCAGAAGTGCTGGTTCCCGCCAGGAATCTGGAATAAAGATGGCTGGATCCCCAAGACCCTTACAGAGATATTTATTTCCCCTCATAGCCCTCCGGCTGTGCTTCCTGCCAAAAGAAAAAGAAAAAAGAAAAGAAACTGAAGTAGGGGCTGAGGAGGAGGGGGTTGTGATCTGGTTGCCACTTGGCTTTGACTTGGTTTTTCACCTATTCATTACTCCCTTCTGTTTATTGTGGTCACGCCCTTTCCAGAAATTCTTGGTGGTAACCGCGAGAGAAGGGAACAGGAGCCAGGAGAACTGGAGAAAACTGCTCTGATCTGACTTGGCTTTAACTAGGGGCTGACGCTGCATAGTAACAACCAGCTTTTACTAAGCTCTCTCACAGGTACTTGTCCATACGAGTCTTAATTTTGCACCTTGTGGTATGATATTATACCATTGACAATTGTATGTAAAATGAGGCTCCTGCGATATGTTCTAGGAGGGCTGTGAGCTTTGGATTCTAACTTAGCACTGTTCTAGTCTCCTGGTTGACCTTCTTCTCAAAATGAACTTCTAGCCAAGTCTCCAGAGACCCCTTGGATGATGGGTACAGTGTACAGTGTGACTGTGTCTGTCACAGTCCTGATACCCTTTTCTGCTTGCATTTTTCCCTCTCCCTGTTTCCATGGAAGTCCCTGGTCCTGATTCTTTAAGGGACTAGGTATGTTCAGAGAGCCTTAAAAAGTCTGTATCAGAATTAATCTATCAACCCATTATAGATGTCCCTCATCCTCATCCCTCATTGCTAGGCAGGGATTGAGGCCTGGGAAATTCCAAATCTGAGTGAGGCTCACCATTTTTCAGATCCTTCCCTCAACACCACCCCTCCTCTTGGATGGATCCCTGTCCGCTAGTCTCATCTTGATTGCTTGGGACAAGGTCTTATAGTGTAACCCAGACAGCCTCAAACTAAGATCCTCCTGCCTCAGCCTCCTGAATGTTGAAATTATAGGCTCATGCTACCAGTCTGTCTCACCTTTTGGGCAGTGGGCCTTTCCCCACCTGATTAGTGTCCTCAAATGGGTTGTCAACGCTATAGGTAATGCTAATATTCATGCTTGATGACATTCAGGTTTGTATTGTGCCTTTAAACCTTGACCTCATTGACCTTCATAACCTCTCCAAGTAAGATACATTTAACTATCCCTATTTTCCAGGTGAGGTTTTGGAGTGATAAGATTTCCCTGGGATCACATACCCATCTAGTAACTGATTCCCTTCTCATATAACAGCTTCCCAAGAGCATCAGGAGTAGAGTCCAGGCCCATTCCCCATCAGCTTCTGGCTACATTTACATAGAGTACTTCTGTCTAGTGGTGATGATAGAGCCAAGATCTAACCAGTGTATTTTCTATGGCATACTGACCCAGAAGATTTTGCAAACCTGGCCTATCACTTACCATAAAACTGCCCTTGGCCTTTTTCTGTAAGAGAAAAACATCCCAGGTAATCTCTGGAGGCTCTCATCAAAGTTTCCTTACTTCCTAATTGGCAAGGAAAAGCACAGACTCTCACTCTCTGCCCAGGCCTGCCTTGTTCTCGTTTGGGTTCCTCCTGCTTGGTGGGAGGAGGAGTAGTGAGTCACCCCAGAGAAGCCCTCACCTGTGTGGCCCTTGTCTTCTGTCTCACGCTACAGGTTCTAAGATTCCGACACACCTGAGTCTTCTGCTGGAGTGATGACCTCATGACCAAGTTGATAAACAGTGCTGCTTGTGTCTGTGACAGAGCTCTGGCTGCCCACACTAAAATACGATGCTCCAGCAGGTAAACCCTCAAACTGATGTAACCAAGCACCAGAGACAATCTGCTGTTTGCATGTCTGAATGAAAAACTACAGTACTCATAGCTGGAAGGATGGAAAGACCCCTTCCTTCTTCAATTAGTCATTCCAGTGCTCTTTCTGATACCTAGCTTGAATGTCTCCCTTGTGTCTTTGTGGCTTTTCCTTGGAGTGGATAAGGTGAGATAGGTAAAGGAATCCAGGTCAGTGTGATGACCTTAAATGGGGCATATCCTGACAGAAGTCCCTGCCGGGCTGTTTTGTTGAATCACAGTGGAAGTTTGGGGCTTCCAAGAATGTTCATTGAAGCTGAGCCTTTAAAAATTATAAAGAATTAACCAAGTTAGCTGGGCATGGTGGCACATGACTT